TTTTTTTTTTTTTTTTTCCGTTTTTTTTTTTTTTTTATTATAGAAAAAAGGTTTAATTTGTTTTTTTTGATATAGAAAAAATTTACCTAATTTAAAGTTGAACAATATTGGCCAATATGAAAATACATCTACTCTATTTAAATTTTGTGAAACTTTTACTATGAGAGATATTTTAAAATAGTGCAAACAAACAATATTTTTTTTTTTTTTTTTTTTTTATTATAGAAAAAGTTTATATTTTGGTTTTTTTTATATAGAAAAATTTACCTAATTTGATAAGTTTGAACAATATGCCAATATGAAAAGTCTATCTTACTCTTATTTTAATTTTTTGTGAAACTTTTACTATGAGAGATTTTTAAAATAGTGGCAAACAAAAATATAAATGAGTATTAATGTGAAGAAATTTTGGATAATTGGTTTTTTACATCAATTTTCTTTCAAAAAATGTGCTCATATGGGCGATTTGAGTGCTGATTAAACTGGAGTTTGAATGGAAAAGGACCACAAAATTTTTAGGTTGACCACAATGAAAAGAATTCCTAGGGACTTCATTCAAATATTTGAAAAATTGCGCGATATTTAAAGTATGTCTTTAATAACCAAAGGCAGTTGGAAGGTTAAATGAGCACAAATTTTCATATTTTCACACAATTTTCATAAATAAAGGACCAAAAAATGAATTTTCCTCTACAACTTAGAGTATAAACTTGATTTTTTGCAACCATATTTATTCTTATCATTCCAACGAAGCATTTGAAGTCTCATTGAATATTGGAACATAATTTACAGCATATATTGATATTAGAGGAGAAATAAATGAGATATTAGGGGTAAATTAGTAAAAAGAGGCAAAAATATTGGTTAAACTACTTTCTTAATCTCGGTAAAAAATTAGTTGCTCATATATAAAAAGAACGGAGGGAGTAGTATTTTAGATACTACCTCTGTTCCATAATACTCGTCACATTTGGAATTTCATATTCCTTAAAAAAACCATTAAACTTGTCCAAATTACAATAAATTATTGAGTAAATTGATTATATTACTCTTAATTTAATATTAATTTTAAGAATACCATTAAAATGAAGTAATAATTATTGATCATATACAAATGATAAACGTGGAAAAAATATTTATTAATTCTTGAAACCACAAATATGACAAGTATGATAAAGCGAAGGCAGTAACATTTAATATTTTGGGTAATGTCGAAATATTACCTTTGTTGTTTAAAGTGTCACCAATAACGTTTAATGTTCGAAGGCAGTAACATTTAATATTTTGGGTAATGTCAAAATATTACCTTTGTTGTTTAAAGTGTCACCAACAACGTTTAATGTTTTAGCTAGGATCAAAATAATGCCTTTGATGTTTATTGTGTTTAGTGATATTACCCAAAATATTACCTTTGTTGTTTAAAAGTGTCACCAATAACGTTTAATGTCTTAGCTAGGATCAAAATAATGCATTTGATGCTCTTAAATACTTGTCACTATGGAAAAAATATTATGTTTCCAAATATTTGTTATATTTATGGATTTCATAAATGATACTTTTTTTTTCATTTTACCTTTCAATGTGAGAATGTGACTGTTTCAATTTCTAAATAATTTATCATAACTTAGACAAATTAAGGGTACTTTAGTCAATTCATTCACTATCTCGTTTTCATAATACTTGGCACAGTTGGAATTTCACGTCCCTTAAAAAAATCATTAAATTTGTCTAAGTTACAATAAATTATTGAGTAAAAATTGACTATATTACCCTAAATTTAATACTAATTCTCTAAGAAAACTATTAAATTGAAGTAATAATTATTGGCCATATACAAAAAGTAAACATGGAAAAATGTATTTATCACTTCTTGAAATCACAAATGTGACAAGTATTTTGAAACAAACTACTTTATCAAATGTGACGAGTAATATGGAACAGAGGTACTCCCTTTGTCCCAAAATATAAGTCATTTTGATTATTTTAAGAAGTAATAAATGATATTTTTTCAATGTTACCTTTTAGATATAATAAATAATTTTACAAGTAACTATTAATTTTGAGATAAAAATTAATTTAGTCAACTTACTTTTGATTTTGTTATAATCTAGGAAAATTAATTGTTTTCTTAATTATTGTGTAAAAACCTTAAACAACTTATATTTTGAAACAGAGAGAGTATTAATTATTTATAATAACTTAAACAAATTGAATGATTTTCTTAAGGGACGTGAGATACCCAAATGTTATAAGTATTTAGGAATGGGTGAAGTAACATTTATACTACTACCCTGTTTCAAAATATAAGTCGTTTAAGATTGTTGCACAAGGATTAAGGAAACTATTTATTCTTTTAGATTATAACAAACTGAAGGATAATTTGACTAAATTATCATTTATCTCAAAATCAATAATTATTTCTAAAAGTATTTATTGTAACTAATTTAAAATAGGATAATATATAAAAAAACATAATTTATTAATCCTTAAATGTTTAAAAAGCCTATAGCATATAAACCCGTGTGAAGGTTAAGAAATGATTCATGGGTTATCTTATAGAGATTTACAAATGATGAGTATATGACCAATCATTACATGCAAATAGTTATTATTTATTTATTTATTTTATGGTTAGTATATGGAGAGTTAAGTTAAATTATAAAGCTTCAAAAAGTGTCAATGAAATGTGGTTTACTTGGTAAACCCATCATTAGAAATAAGAATCAAAACCCATATTAATATTGTTTGAAAGGCAAGTCTTCCCTAACAAAAATTTAAAATTAAAAGTTTATACTTTATTTATAAACTGACTCCACCGACACTTTGATGCACATGTGGCATTAAAAGGACAAAACTATATAACAGATTTTAATAATGTAGAGTGAGTAGAAGGAAAGTTGAAAAGCATATGATGTGGTGGCAGGCAAGCCAGCCAATTTAGTTGTGTTTTTTCTTTTTTCTTTTCTTTTTTGACCCTTTTTTTTTTTTAGATTGTATATATAAAAGGGAAAATTTTATTTTCACCCAATAAAGATAAATGCAAATAAAGATACCAGTGAATGACAGATTTACACTCTAACATCAATGGGATTAAATAAAAAATTTATTAAAAAATCATAATTCTATAAAGTAAAAATTTTAAAATTTTTTTATTTCAAATATTGGATGGAAAAATTCTTCTCCTTTAATAGAAATTTCGAATTCGAGCCATAGACATATATCATTTTAAACATTCGAGAGGGAGTATTTTGTGTTGAATTAATGAGATAAGTGAATTTAAAATATAGATAATTAAAAAAAAATAAGAATTTTTAATATAGCCAGCCAAAGTTTACCTAATTGTTTTACACATGTGGTTAAGTAAATTTATTGGTTGGCAACTAACCCATGATAAGAAACAAAAAGGTCTAAGACAAATGATAAGGATTAAAGAAAGAAATTCTCATTAATGTGAAAAATGACTCGCAAAGTCACATAAACCATCAATTTCATTGCTGTCGCTTCCACAGGATTAAACAACGTCTAATAATTGTATTGCTGAGTTGTCTTGACTCTAATATTTTAGTGCAACCATAAAAATAATAATAGTATTTTGTTATTCATGTGATTATCATTAAATTTATAAAAAAAAGTTATTGTTTTTAATTAATTAAATAAAAATACATAATATATACAAGAACATGAAACTCATCCACAAAATTTTATTTCATAACATAAATGAAAAGTCTAAATATACTTATTAAATTTGATTTAATTGGTAAAATAAATATAATTACAAAACTCATAATAATGGTTATTAAAGTTATAAATGGCATCATAATTAAGCTAATAAAAAGTATTACAACAAATAAATATATAAAGATAGAGTTTCTAATTTGGGCAAGGACACATTCACATGTGACTTTTCATACATTTTTTTTAATACATGTGCATAAGACATAAATAGACATACTTATTAAAATTACGAGAAATTTTAACAACATATTATTATATATTTTATTCACTAAGAGACCGAGCAGTCGAAAGGATACTATGGACTATATAATATGGATAAATTTTTTTTTTCTCGATCGAAATGTCTCAAATTTCGTATTCTCTATATAAGAAAGACTAATCAAATTACACAAAGTCTCTGTATATATATTTAATTGCTGGTTGTAGTCCCTAGCTCTCTATCTAGTCTACAAGATATTTTATCTTACCTAGTATTTAGAACTAGAAGCTAGATTATCTAAGATTTGTGATTAAGTCTATTAAGTTTCACCTAAATTTGGTTTCAAGGTTAGTTATTATTTTTAACTACTCTTATGATCTCAATCTCACTAAAATCTGTGATTGATCTTCGCTGACCTTTATTTCTTTATTTTTTAATTTTTTAAATAAGCATAAATAGGTTGGCATAATTAATTATTTTGTGAAAAAATTTTTATCTTGTATTGTGAACTCAAAGTAATTTTCATTATTTTATCATGAGATAAAAAAAATTTAAAACAAAGATAAAAAACTAAATTTAAGTCGTTTTATATTTATTCAATCTCAACCGTTCATTTTCATCACCGACAAAATACAACACAGAGCTCGAATAACGTCGGATTTGGATCCAGATCTGGCCGCCCGAATCCGGTTCTATTCCGTATTTGCATACAACATAAATAAAAGTCAGTCAAATAACTACAGCAACAGTCGAAAACAATTCGTACAAAATATTAAATGAATAAATATAAATATAAATAAAATAATAAAAATTATGTTTATTTTTTCTTTTCCAAAAAAAACAAAACGTTTCACTTTCAGATTTCGATTGACACATCGTGCATTTTCGGGTTAGCAATGAATTTATCTTATCGCGAGAAATTGAATGAAACTCTCCTCCCTGTAATTGATCTGGTGTGTGTGACAGAGAGGCAGTGAGAGAGAGAGAAAGAGAGAGAGCATGGAAGTAGGATCTGCTCACGCGGCGTAGATCATGTCTTCAGTCTTTCTCTCTCTCTCACTACTAGCCTGTACTGTTACTACGCGTTTTCGCTTTCTGTTTCTCACTCATTTTCTCTCTCTCCAAACACTCCTATTTCTCTTTTTACTCACATTTACATTACACACATTAAAACCGTGACTTAGCAATTTCCAACTCGAAAAACAGATCGAAAAGAAAAAATTAAAGAGGTTTTATTGATTTTTTTTTCTCTCTGTAGAAGTAGAAAGTGAAAAAAGAAATAATAAATAGGTAGACGAAGGATACACCAACTCCGGTGGGGGCACAGAGCAGCGCCACCATCACATTCTGGGCCCCACCACCAATAGCTTTTTCCAATTAATTATTATTATTCTTTAATTTTTTTTTTTTAGTTTTTTTTAGTTTTTAATGTGTTTTTTTTTTCACTCGATTAGAGGCACAGATTACATTACTGGTGCATTTTCTTGATCTATCTGTCTCCTTCCCTATTACGCCTCCACATTTCAACTCCCTCTCTCTCTTAAAACCAAGCCATCTATTAACCATCATTGCCTCAAGATTGAGACCAGCCAGGATACAGAGAGGAGTGAGAATCTGGCTTTGTCAAGCCAATTGAAAAGAACATAGAGAGAAACATTTCTTTCATTTCATTTAATTTTTTTTTTTGTGTCCTGTTCTATTTACGGATTTTTTCTATATCTGGGTTTGGAAACTCGGATGCAAAGGTGGAGTCTTTTAACGGAGCTCAGTCACTGGCGGATGCGGTGGTGGTTCACTCAGTTCTGAGTTTTGGTTTTCTGGATTTGAGAAAAGCTTTTTGATTTTGTGGAGCTGAGTGAGATTTACAGTCATGAATACTGGGGGTCGACTCGTTGCTGGCTCTCACAACAGGAATGAGTTCGTGCTTATAAATGCTGATGAGAGCGGAAGAGTAAGAGTTCTTTAAATCACTGCATTTTGGTTCCTTCATTTTTTATGAGACCCATCTGCTCATCTCCTTCTGATCTGGGTTTCCTTTGCAAATGTGAACAATTAGGGTTTTGCTTTATCTTGCTGGTGTTTAACTACATTTTCTTCTGATTTGAGAGTTAGATTTATGGAATTTCTGCTTTCCTTTTATGGATTGTCTTTACTTGGCCTGTTAATTTTATTTGATTATATTATATTATTTTTCTTTCCGACAAAATAAGGTCACATGTTTTACTAAATTTCTTCCCTCTTTCTCCGATGAATTATACAGGTTTTTCTTAACCTAGAATTATGTCAAGATTGGGGTGATTCGATGGAATTAATAATTCTCACTTTCGAATCTGAATTGCTAGAGTTTGAGCTTCTATTGAATATGCTAACGTGTTCCAGATTATCACTTCTTCCAGTTTGTAAATATGGTCTTTTGTTATGGTTTTAGTAACTCAGATCTGGATTCCGATTCTGATGTAAATTTTTGGTGTAATTTATAAGGACACTTCAATTTTATTGCACAATTGTGATCAAATTTGGTGTTAATTGCGAGACAATTGAAAATGCTGTGAGATTCTTGCATAGATATAGGAGGCCTTGGGTCAGATTTTCAATGAATTTGCGTATGTGACTTCTTCTGCAGCATATCTCTTCTTCTGGATCCACGATACATTCTATTGATATGCTGTTCACAAGAAAAAAATTTATAGTCTTGTGAGTCAGAAATCCCTTCTCTCTCCCCTTTCCACTAGTAATGATAGAGTATCTACTGGGTTTTTGAAAAAGTATTGATTCGGGAATGTATGTGAAGGATTACTAACGTATAGCAGAAGAGTTTAAGTTTTAGCTTTTTTCATACAAGTTGTGAATGATATGCAGTGAAGAGAAGTCAATACTAAGTTACTAACTACTGATGAAATTCAGGGAAAACAAAGATGGTAAATTGGCTTCACAACGAGTTCTGATAGAAAGCTATAAGTATATCTGGGAGTGTAATCAGATTCGAATCAACTGAAACCTTTTATTTTGGCTGTTTATTTTGGCCATTATTCAGCTTCAAATTAACTATTATCTTTGGTGCTTTTCTTTTCTTTTCTTTTTATTTTTTTACCTTCTGTCCTCATGTTTGATGTTCAAGTGCCCTTCTCTCTCCCCTTTCCACTAGTAATGATAGAGTGGCTACTGGGTTTTTGAATAAGTATTGATTCGGGAATGTATGTGAAGGATTACTAACGTATAGCAGAAGAGTTTAAGTTTTAGCTTTTAGTTCATACAAGTTGTGAATTATATGCAGTGAAGAGAAGTCAATACTAAGTTACTAACTACTGATGAAATTCAGGGTAAACAAAGATGGTACATTGGCTTCACAACGAATTCTGATAGAAAGCTATAAGTATATCTGGGAGTGTAATCAGATTCGAATCAATTGAAACCTTTTATTTTGTCTGTTTCTTTTGGCCATCATTTAGCTTCAAATTAACTATTATCTTTGGTGCTTTTCTTTTCTTTTCTTTTTATTTTTTTACCTTTTGTCCTCATGTTTGATGTTCCCCAGTGTTGATTGTACTCATTTTGTTGTTCTCTTGTACAGATAAAGTCTGTGCAAGAATTGAGTGGACAAGTGTGTCAGATATGTGGGGATGAGATTGAGATTACGGTGGATGGAGAGCCATTTGTTGCTTGCAATGAATGTGCTTTCCCTGTGTGTAGGCCTTGCTATGAGTATGAGAGAAGAGAGGGAAATCAGGCCTGCCCTCAGTGCAAAACTAGATACAAGCGCATCAAAGGTGAGATTGCAACAATTTTTCCTGTGTTTATGGTGACTTAGGTTACAGATCTTTTATTTTGTGTTTTAACTACTGATATAAATGACAGGTAGTCCTAGGGTTGATGGTGATGAGGAAGAAGATGATATTGATGATTTGGAGCATGAGTTTGATTATGGAAACTTTGATGGCATGGGCCCAGAACAAGTTGCAGAAGCAATGCTCTCTGCACGCCTTAATACTGGGCGTGCTTCTTATTCTAATGCCGCTGGAATTCCCACATCCTCAGAACTTGATTCTTCTCCTCTTAGCTCCAAAATTCCTCTTTTGACCTACGGCGAGGAGGTAATTATGAGTTGACCTTTCCTATCTGCACATGCCATATGTTCACAAGTGGTCTGATGATTGTACTGAATTTCTTGTTCTTTTGTTTAGGATGCTGAGATTTCTTCTGACCGACATGCTCTTATTGTGCCCCCATTCATGGGCCATGGAAATAGAGTTCACCCAATGCCATATTCTGATCCATCTATACCCTGTAAGTCATTTGTTCATTGACTGCTTGCAGAAGTTCTGGTTTGTAGGTATCTAATCATCCAGGCTAATCTTATTGTTTTTGATATTTAGTGCAACCTAGACCTATGGTTCCTAAAAAAGACATAGCTGTGTATGGGTATGGGAGTGTGGCGTGGAAGGATAGAATGGAAGACTGGAAGAAAAGGCAGAATGACAAACTTCAGGTGGTCAAGCATGAAGGGGGAAATGATGGTGGAAACTTTGATGGGGATGAATTTGATGATCCTGATTTGCCCATGTAAGTTAAAGCTCAAAACTTTTCTTTTTCCTATTCTTGTATTCCATTTAGTTAATCTGCTTCATATACGTTGTTCTGTCCTTGAGTCAATGACCCCCTGTGTATGGAGAAGAAGGCAGTTAATGACACAGTTTTAACAAATGAAAATATTTCTAAGGTGCTGTTGGAGATATTACTACTAGCGTAAAAAACAGCTTTTAAAGGCATACCATATTATAAGAGGGGGCTGATTCTGCTAGTTATTTTCAGTGACAATCAAGGGTACATGCTTCTAACCACTTCATAAATGATTTAAGTCCAGAGAGATTAACTTCAGTGAAACTCAACAACTCCCATTGCCTCTGCATAACTGAGCATCAAAATGTTATAAATGATACAAGTGCAAGTACGGATCAGTGCTCCTCCATTAGCCTAGAATGCCTTAAATAATTAGATATTGTATAAGATAGGTTCTTGCCCTGGCGCTTTCTTATCAATTAGTTTGTGGAGAATCCCAAAAGAAATGATTGCTTATGTATATTTGTAAACTAGAATTTATATACGAGAAAAAATAATTTGGTTATGGAAAATTAGAGCTTGAGTTGAATAAATTATCTTGGCTGTTGATGTGAAACTGAAGTACTTAAACTGGTGATACTGAACGTATTAAAATTTCTTTTGTTGAGCTCTAATCCATATCTTTGCACTGAGCTTGACCTTCTGGACGATATGCTATCGAATATAAGATGTTCCCTTTGAGTGCTAACATGTTCTGAGTCTAGACCTAGGTTAATATCTAAATCGATGTGGTACTACAAAAAAAAAAAAAAGTGAATTTCATATTGAAGTGTGAATTTTAAAATGTTATGTTTTATTTATTTAGTCATTGGCTTGATAGTTCATTTGTTTAGGTTTTTATGAGTTGTTTCTTAATGCACTTTCTCAGGATGGATGAGGGCAGGCAGCCACTTTCAAGGAAGTTGCCCATATCATCAAGCAAGATAAACCCATATCGGATGATAATCATTATTCGTCTTGTTATTCTTGGCTTGTTTTTTCACTATAGAATTCTCCACCCTGTCAATGATGCGTATGGTCTGTGGCTGACATCAGTAATATGCGAAATATGGTTTGCAGTATCATGGATTCTCGATCAGTTTCCAAAATGGTATCCAATTGAACGTGAGACATACCTTGATCGGCTCTCACTTAGGTACATGGAGCCATCCATTTAGTTTCATGGGACACGTGTTTCTATAAACAAACTTGGTGTCGTTTCTTCTTCCTTACAATTTAGTCCTACTTCCTATTTTGTATATGAGATCTGTGAATGTAATCCCTTATCACATTCCTTAATTTTCAGGTATGAAAAAGAAGGAAAACCATCTGAGCTAGCTAGTGTAGATGTATTTGTCAGTACTGTTGATCCAATGAAAGAACCCCCACTGATCACTGCAAACACGGTTCTCTCAATTCTTGCGGTTGATTATCCAGTGGACAAGGTTGCATGCTATGTTTCTGATGATGGTGCAGCCATGCTTACATTTGAGGCACTGTCTGAGACATCTGAATTTGCCAGAAAATGGGTTCCTTTCTGTAAGAAATTTAATATAGAGCCCCGAGCCCCTGAATGGTATTTCTCTCAGAAGGTTGACTATCTAAAGAATAAAGTCCACCCATCATTTGTGAGGGAAAGGCGTGCTATGAAGGTGAGTGATTGTCTGCAGATTCACGTATTTTACAATCTAAGTGATACGGGAATGTTATCTCAAAATGGCTAGGTAGTGAAATATGATAGTTTGATGCTAAATTTAGTGAAATACGATTGTCTCTGTCATTCTTTTTCTTAAGGTTAACTCCAATTGACACCAGCCTTGTTATTTATTTTATTTTATTTATTGGTGTAGAGAGAATATGAAGAATTCAAAGTTAGAATAAATGGATTGGTTGCCACTGCACAAAAAGTACCAGAAGATGGCTGGACAATGCAGGATGGAACTCCATGGCCCGGTAACAATGTGCGAGATCATCCTGGCATGATTCAGGTGAGACTGTATTTCCAACCAAAGAGCATTGGCTGTGCTCTCTTCATAGTCTATTACAGATCTAAACAATAAATTTCTTGCTAGGAGCACAATGCTAGTGGTTCATGGGTGTGATTGGTTGAATCAGTACTTGCATTCATATTCTTTGCACTTTTGTATCTGAAAGGGTGCTTGCATCACCGTCTATTTTTTCCAATGATGGCAGCCTTCCCTAGTTCTTTTTAGTTTAATCCATTTGCTTAACACCATATCAAACAAGTAGAGTTGTTAAATTTTGTTTATGTTCTAACATGTACCAAATACTGATATTATCTCATTTTACAGGTCTTCCTTGGTCATACTGGTGTCCGTGATTTGGAAGGGAATGAATTACCTCGTTTGGTATATGTCTCTCGTGAGAAGAGACCAGGGTTTGAACACCATAAAAAGGCTGGGGCCATGAATTCTCTGGTAAGGCTTGGACATTTATATTTATTGTGCAAGTCACTTTCCTGGTTTCTCAACCTTTCTCTTTCTAACAATAACATGTTAAGAACTAATACTTTGTTCTTTGTTATCACTGCTGCAGGTTCGGGTCTCTGCTGTTCTATCAAATGCTCCTTATCTTTTGAATGTGGACTGTGATCACTATATTAACAACAGCAAAGCTCTTAGAGAAGCTATGTGTTTCATGATGGATCCAACATCAGGGAAGAAAGTTTGCTATGTCCAGTTTCCTCAAAGATTTGATGGTATTGATCGTCATGACAGATACTCAAATCGGAATGTGGTGTTCTTTGATGTATGTATTTTTTACTCTCATGCCTTGCTTTTCTCGCCGTTGTCTGAATTGTTCTTTTCCAATGGTATTCTGAAAAAAAGAAAAACTAATTTTCTAATTAAAAACAGATTAACATGAAAGGGTTAGATGGTTTGCAAGGACCTATATATGTTGGAACTGGGTGTGTTTTCCGAAGGGTAGCACTTTATGGTTATGATGCACCTGTAAAGAAGAAGCCCCCTGGCAAGACCTGCAACTGTTGGCCAAAATGGTGCTGCATGTGCTGTGGATCTAGAAAGAACAAGAAATCAAAGCCAAAGAAGGAGAAGAAAAAGAAGTCAAAGAACAGGGAGGCATCAAAGCAGATATATGCCCTTGAAAACATTGAAGGAATCGAAGGTGCAGTTTTTCTCTTGTACTTCACTAGTTCTACAATGTACATCTATATTCAATTCTTTAAAATTCTCTCATTCAATAATTTGTGTTCCTGTGCAGAATCAACCACTGAAAAAGCTGCAGAAACATCCCAAATGAAATTGGAGAAGAAGTTTGGGCAGTCTCCAGTGTTTGTGGCTTCCACGCTTTTAGAAAATGGTGGAGTTCCTCAAGATGCTAGTCCTGCATCACTTTTGAGAGAAGCCATCCAGGTTATCAGCTGTGGTTATGAAGATAAAACGGAATGGGGAAAGGAAGTAAGTGAAGACAAGAAATATGAGAAGTTTGAAACTTAAATCAGCAAATTCTACCTTTTATGCTCAGTTGTTGATATTTTTTTTTTAACCAGGTTGGCTGGATATATGGCTCTGTGACTGAGGATATCCTGACAGGATTCAAGATGCACTGCCATGGATGGCGATCTGTGTACTGCATACCTAAGCGGCCTGCGTTTAAGGGGTCAGCTCCTATTAATCTGTCAGATCGTCTACACCAAGTTCTTCGATGGGCCCTTGGGTCTGTGGAAATTTTCTTGAGCAGACATTGTCCTATTTGGTATGGCTATGGGGGTGGATTGAAATGGTTGGAACGATTTTCCTACATAAATTCAGTCGTGTATCCTTGGACATCCATTCCCTTGCTTGTTTACTGCACTCTACCAGCTATTTGCCTTCTCACTGGGAAATTCATTGTTCCAGAGGTAACATCCTTCTAAATTTTCTGGCATGCTGATCTTTGAAAAGGATCTTTTTAATCTTTTTCTTTATATGTTTCTAAAACCTGAAGTAATATGACAAAATAGGGATTAAGTTTTTGTGCTATTCTCAAGCATTATAAGCTAAAGACTAGTAGGGATAATTTTGTATTGGTTGATTTTTCTATTTTCTATTGTAATCTATGGGGCAAATTTTTTTTTTTTTTGGTCAATGCTCAGAAGATTCAAAAGCATGTACTCCAAAAACAAACCAGTTTTTATAAACTGCTTATTAATTTCTATAATCCTTTTTTGCTGTGGTTTTTCTAGTAGCCCGAAAACCTACGTTTTTTGTTTGTACTCCAGTTGTATGTTCTTTGGGCTCACTCAAGGTTTTTGTGTTGAACAGATTAGTAATTATGCCAGCATCATATTCATGGCTCTCTTCATATCTATTGCTGCTACTGGTGTCCTTGAGATGCAATGGGGTGGTGTTGGTATAGACGACTGGTGGAGAAATGAGCAGTTTTGGGTGATTGGAGGCGTTTCATCACATCTTTTTGCTCTCTTCCAGGGTTTGCTGAAGGTGTTGGCTGGTGTCAACACAAACTTCACTGTCACTTCAAAAGCAGCCGATGATGGAGCATTTTCAGAGCTTTATATATTCAAATGGACATCACTCTTAATCCCTCCCACAACTTTATTGATCATAAACATAGTTGGAGTTGTTGTTGGGGTATCAGATGCTATCAACAATGGGTATGATTCATGGGGTCCTTTATTTGGTAGGCTCTTTTTCGCCTTATGGGTCATTATTCACCTCTACCCCTTCCTCAAGGGGCTTCTTGGGAAGCAAGACCGCATGCCCACCATTATTCTGGTATGGTCAATTCTGCTGGCTTCTATCCTAACTCTTATGTGGGTCCGAATAAACCCATTTGTGTCCAAAGATGGCCCTGTACTGGAAGTATGTGGGTTGGACTGTGACTAAAGATACAGGAATAAAGCAACCTTAAGTAGGTTTTAAGTGGCAAAATATGGAAATTGTTCCAGTGTCGTGGCCGGTAAGTCATTGGACAAATTGCGCATTGCGCGTGACTTGCATCTTGCGATGTTATATGGCCAAGATGAAATTTTTGTGGAAAGAAAGCTGTAGGTTGGGGGTGTAGATACTGTGGGTTGGGAAAGACACATTGTTTTTTATTTTTTTGGTTTTACAGGGTTTTTATTAATTCTTTTATTAAATTCCTGTGGGTTTTAGGGGTTTTTATTTTGTTATTATGTGAGTTTCTTCAAATGTATTTCTAAGAGAATTGAATCATAAATTATTCCCTTGTCAATGTAGGGATTCATATAAGTGTCTCAAACCACTTCAAGTCCTTGTGTTTCATTGTTTCTCCATGTGGACCATTGGACATTTATGTACCTAATTTGGAGTTGCAAATATTATGCAATTTGATCCCTTTTGCTAGGAATAACATTACATGGCTTTTCCTTTCTTTCAACTTTCAATTGAATGTTCCTTCTTTTTTCCTTGAAAGAGATTGGGTTTTCACATATTTTGCAAATTTTGTTTAGTTGGCTGTAAGCTTTAGGTTTTTCATTCTAATCATCAATATCTATTGTCTTTTAACTCTTCTGTGGCATTTGTTTGTATGACTCTGGGTTCTAGGGCTTATATTATGTGTTCATGCGAATCTGAGTTCAAAATTTTTCATTTTGTAACGGTGTGAAATATTTGTTTAATAGTACAAAATGAAAAGTTTTGAACTCATAGATTGGTCTTTAAACGTTTTCCGCTAGGGGTGAGCATTAAATGGTTTAAACCGCAAAATCAAATTAAACCTTACTAAACTGGCAGTTTTAAATAGTTTATCATTTTAAACGGTTTGATTTAGTTTATAATTTAATAACCGCTTTTAACATAATTTGGTTTGATTTCATTTTATTAAACCATTTAGAATTGAATAAAATTGCATTAATATTTTCTGATGTTATTGTGTTTTTAATTTAATTGTTATATATTTTATCTAATCGGAAACTTTGAACTACACCTTGTGTACATGACTCATTATACATGGATTTATTTCCTAAAATGTAAATCTGATATTTTATCTATTTTTATTCAATTTCAAAATTAGTGGAAAAATATTTTTCATTGCCAATTAAAGATTTTCAGTCAGATTGAGGAGGGAAATTTCAGGCCTTAACTGAACACCTTCAAGACCAAGGTATAACACAACGAGTATCTTGTTCTTATACAGCTGAGCAAAATGTGTAGCTGAACGGAATATAGACAATTATGGAAGCAGGAAGAGCCTTATTGCACCATGCTAGTGTACCCCAACAATATTGAACTCATGCATTTGACACTGCAGTCTAATACTATTAACTGTGTTCCATGTGTACACACAAAGCCCTCCACCCCATATGAGGTCCTATTGAAAGTAGCACCCAGCTATAATGACCTTCGGATTTTTGGATCACTTTATTATCTTTGGTTGCAACCATATCTAAAAATAAATTGGATGCTCATTCTGCTGCTTGTGTCTTTCTGGATTATTCCAAAATTCATAAATGTTACATGTCTTGATTTATCCAATAAAAAAAATCTTTATCTCATGCCATGTTACCTTTTCTGAGCAAGTATTTCCATTTGAGCATGATGTTGTTCCGACTCCCTAGTCCATTGTCTCCACACCTTCTAGTCTGTTACCACCACCACCAAAAATTACCAATGATGCAGGAATATTAGGTCTCCTCCTCTAGCCCATGCACCTCTCATTTCACCTACCAGTATACAAAGTACATCACCTAATAAAACTTGCTACAAAGCCCCATTTATAGTGTCGAAATTAAAGAAAAGAATATGTTTTATTTCTTTCAATTGTTTTATATTTTTCAACCTCTACTCCACTATATATATACAAAAAATTATTCCAATATAGGAAGTAATCTAAATAGGAAAGTATCTAAATAGCGAAAATAAACCTAACCTAACGAAATACAATCTTTATACTAATTAGGGCGCAACATACAACTAAATCTAGGAAACACACACCATATTCTCTTAACTTATCACAAAGATTTCAACACTCTCCCTCAAGTTGGTGCATCAGATATTACTCCATCGCTCCAACTTCGCAACAACCTAAGGGATGAAACAACTTGCTTATGCAATACCCTTTTGTGAAACATCAGTCTCCGTCTGCTCTTGTTTGAAGGGGCTCATAAGAGACCTCTCCATCCCACCACAACTTCCGCACCTATCCTTCCTCTTTTATACAAGCTGACCGACATCCATCTCCCTATGTGCTTCTGCTTCGATCATCACGCACGCGACTGGCACTCTCGGTCTCCTCAATTACTTGCACTGGCTTGCTCTTATTATCACAAATAAGCGATATATTTTGTTGTTTCCCCACACCACCTCTCTCACCACCCTCTTCACTTAACTCCCCCCTAACTGCAGAAAACGATAGAAGTATGCACAAGACTTATTCCTGTAGGCCATAGCTTCTATATTCAGCTCTGCCTGGAACCTTGCGGAACACAACTTGACTTTTTTTTGCTTCTCCCATGTGACCCAGAGTTTCTTCCAACAAAACCACATAACTGAGGGTATGATTCTCCTGTCATCAAGGGAAACTACCACTCCAATCGATCTCTGTACTAGTCTGTTATTGTTAATGTTGCGCCAATGTTTAGAATATTTATGAATTCGATGCAGACTGCTTCTAAAAGTGATGACTCCTATAGGGTCATGCATGTACTGATTCACTAAAACTTACAAACATAGGGGCAATTCTGTTCTAGTATGGGCAAGGGGTAAATTCAATCTCCCGATCAAATCTTGATTACTATGCCAACATCAATTGAACTTCACTCATAATAAAGCTATGAAGCTTATGATTGATTTCACATAGGTGATTCTGCTGGTTTACATCCAATTAACAGTTTTTTTAAGGAAGATAAGGTGTACTTTTCTTTGAGAAAATAAACATCCTTTTTAAATCCCTTTTTCTGACCTAGCAACTTCTATCCCAAGGAAATATCTCAACTTTCCCAAATCCTTAATCTCAAACTCCCTAGCTAACAAATTTCTCAAGTGTGTCATTTCTTCTTCATTATTTCTAGTCATCACTATATCATCAACATAAACAATAAGCAATGTGATCTTACCTTCATGACGTTTAATGAAAAAGTATGATCAGCATCGCTCTGAATATACCCAAAAGAAAGCATAACTTTACTAGACCTTTCGAACCATGCTCTTGGTGATTGTTTCAGCCCATATAATGACTTCTTCAGCTTGCAAACTTTTCCTCTGGTTTTGTCATCATCAAATCCAGGAGCAGGAGGAATCTCCATATACCTTCCTCTTCTTTTTAAAAATCACCATGTAGAAAAGCATTTTTTAAAACCCATCCAAAATTGATGTAACTCCCAGTCAAGATTGGACTGCACCAAGATAGAAAAATTTGATTGTGTTCATCTTGGCTACCGGGAAATGTTTCCCGATAATCAACTTCCATAGGTCTGACTGAATCCTCTGGGTGGCTACCAATCTGGCCTTGTACCTCTCAATTGAACCATCTGCCCTATGTTAACTGTGAACACCCATTTACATCCAACTGGCTTCTTTCCTGGTAGAGGAGTTACAAGATCCCATGTCTCATTTTTTGCCAAAGCTTTCATCTCCTTAACCATTGTAGCCTTCCATTTTGAGTCCTGTAATGCCTCTTGCCAATCCTACGGTATAGAAACAAAAGAAACAGACAAAACAAAGACTCTATAGGAAGGGGACAGAGCATTATAGGAGATAAAATGGGAGATGGGATGTTTAGTGCACGTTCTAACTCCTTTTTTAAGAGCAATAGGAATATTAAGGTCATTGTCAGAAGGATTAGATCAAGATTAGGATCATAATCAACAGGAATTAAAGAAGACTCACCAAGGTCTTGTTCTTCTGTATCTCCAGGGACTGAAATTGGAGAGGACGGTTGATCAGAGGTCTCATGCTCCATGGTTGTATCTGTATTAGTCCGCCGTGTGTAGGTTTTCAATTCAGGTCTATCTAATCTTCCTAGAGATTTGGGTGGTTTCTCTCTCTTACTATCTATGTTTACAAGAATCTCCCCCTGGAAAGAAATGTCATCCATCACCTCTTCCATTTGATATTTCTCCCCCTAAAGAGGTGACTAGGAAGGAAAATAAGATTCAAACATTTGATATTTCTCCCCCTAAAGAGGTGACTAGGAAGGAAAATAAGATTCAAACTCCCAAAAGGTAACATCCATACTCACAAAGTATTTCCTAGAAGAAGGATGACAACACTTGTATCCTTTTTGAGTAGTAGAGTAACCAACAAACATGCACTTCAAGGCTCTAGGATCTAATTTGCTTAGACCATTCTGATGCTCAAAGCAAACACAATCAAAGACTTTAGGAGGTACAATATAACAGTTTTTTCCTTGAAGAACCTCTAATGGAGTTTTAAAATTTAAAGTACAAAGAGGCATACGATTGATAAGGTAAGCAACAGTCAAAATAGTTTTAAGCGTAGCAACAGTCCAAATAGCACCCGCAATAATGGTTTGGGAAGATTTTTCATGTGAAGATCAAGGGACCTAGCTACTTCAATAAATGCTATTTTCCCTTTCTGTCTCTCTCTTTTAGAGGCACTGTATTGACGACAACTAGTATGATGTATATACGATTAGAATCTAAAAATTAGGAGTTACAAAAAAACTGCATTCATGTATTCAGTACCTATTATCAAGTTCTTTAGGTATTTTTAACACGTGCAATCAAACTGAGTACATCATTTTATTGGAAGTTTGAAAACACCGAAAAAACCTTTTTCATTTTTTTTTTTCATTCAAATAAACCCAAAGTCAAATCTAGTGCAACAATCAAATAAAGGTTACAAATCATCTATAACTCAAAAAAAGAAGAAGCAAGTTTTAATGTAGGAACCCTCTAAAACATCAGAATAGAATGTAAGCAAAAATGAAGAACTCAAATTCTTAATATATTATATTTATTAATTGGAGAATAAGAATGCCTGGTGTGTTTGGCAAGTTCACAAGCATCACATACTAATGAATTAAAATCACATTTAGTAAACAAAGTGGGAAATAAACGTCCTAAAATAGAAAAAGAGGGATTTCCTAATCTCCTATGCCATTAAATAACTTTATGGGAAGGATTTCTAAAAGTTCCTAACAAAGCTTGATTAGTACCCGAATTTGAAAAACAAGAAATGTCATCCAATAAATACAATCCATCGCGCAAGCTACCACTGACAATCGTTCTCCCTGTATTCAGTTCCTGAAATATACAATGAGTAGGGTGAAAAGTTACTTTGCAATTGAGTGCTTTTGTGATTAAGGTAACAGATAACAGATTAATAGGAAATCTAGGAACATGAAGAACAAGGGAGAGTTTAATATTGGAAGTACAATCAATAGAACCTGTGCTAGCAATTGGTACTAAGGAGCCA